TGCTCTTCATGATCGATCCTTCAACCTTTCTAAATTCACTTATTTGAATATTTTGTATACAGGTTCTATGTATTTTGGAGGCCAAGATTCTGTATTTTTAAGTGTTTGTATTCTGTATTTTAAAGCAGTTTAAAACTTGAAGAAAAAAAGCAACAAGAGCCAAAGACTCTTTCTTCCCTGCCACTCCAGAGTGAGTTGCCAGCCCTGTGCCTGACACTCTCAAGGGCACTTTGTGCCAACATAAGGCTCTTTGAAGGCTCTTCATCGATATGACGCAGGACAGGGTCCCATGCCTCTCCTGGCCTCCTTCAGCCCTGATGTCCCCACCCTCATTGCTGAGTGCCTCCCAAAAGCCCCGTGTGGGAAGCTAGCGGGACTTGTGTGAGGCGGGGCCTGGAGAGGGCCTGGGCCTGGGGGTGCCCTTGAAGGGGGAGGCTCAGCACGGGCCCCTTCCTCCTGCTCTTCTTGTTTCTGGTCGTGAGCTGAGCTGCTTGCTCCACTACACACTGCCGCCCCGCGTGCTGCCTTGCCAGTGGCTCTGAGCAACGTGACACCCACCCCCTAGACCAGAACCTACAAATCTGTGAGCCCAAATGAATCTCCTCTCCTTGTAGGTGAACGGCCTCTGGTATGTTGTTATAGTAAAGGGAAGCTGATGAGTACAAGGAGCACAGCAGTTTCCTGGCACCTGGACCAGCTTGTGCACCCTTGTCAGGGATGGCACCGAAGGGTGCTGGGTTCTCATTCATCTAGTTACATGGCACTGGGTTTGAGTCTGTCCCATTTCTAGTGCTGACCGCTTTGGCCGCCTGGTGAGGATGTGTTAGACAGGCCTCTCCCCAGGGGGAGCACCCTTGGAGCCCTGCACCCTCTCTGCTCTCAGTGTGGAACCAGTTCTCACATCAGGTGGGCTTCTGGTCCCTGTTCTGCCCAGTGGGTCTCCACTCATTCTGCCTCTTTAGTCAGCTGGCTCCCTGCTGTGACCGAAAGGCCGGCAAGAAGAGTGGAGGAGGAAAAGTTATTTGGGCTCGGAGTTTCAGAGGTCTCAGTCCATAGACGCTGACTCCATTGCTCTGGGTCCAAGTGAGGCAGCATGTCGTGGTGGAGGGTGTGGGGGAGGAAGGCAGCTCAACACTTGGCAGCCAGGAAGCAGAGAGAGAGAGAGCTCCACTGACCAGGGACAAAATATACACCCGAAGGCACACCTCCAGGACCCACCTCCCCCCAGCCAGACCCCACCTGCCTGTGGTCACCACCCAGCTAATCCCTGTCAGGGAGTAGTGCACTGCTTAGGTAAGGCCCTCCTGACCCAGTCTCTGCACCTCTGAACCTCCTCACCCCGCCTCACGCCTGGGCTTTGCGGATGCCTCACTTCTGAACCACGGCACTGCCATTGCTTGGTATGATGCTCAGGCTGCCCCAGACTTGGCCAGTGAGGAGCGCTTCCCTCCTTTGGACATGGCCTCTCACTCTGACGGCTTCTCTCCCTGCGCTCAGCTTGTCCCCTCCCTGCCCCCGATCTGGCATCAGCCCTTTCCTGGAGGCCTTCATTCCCCAAAGCGTGCTGATGGGCAAAGCTGGGCCTCTGGCCCCCAGGCCAGGGTCCCTTCCCAGTGTCGATGCCCTGCCTCATCCACCCTGTGCAGAACCTGGTGTGTCCACAGCCCTCCTCCGGCACGCAGCCTGCCTTTACCCAGACCTAACAGGTCTGGTCCGTGCCACGGGACAGAGGGGAGAAGTGTAAGCAGGTGTGCACACAGCTGGGTTCTGGAACCCTGGCTGCTGCTGGCTTGTGGTGGTTCCTGCAGAGAGCGCCTGTGTACATACACGTGCGTGCACATGCCCCAGCTTTGCACACACACACTCCACCAAACACACATCTGTGTGCAACTTATTCCCTCCCTCACATCACACATGCTCACCAATGTGCCCCTGTCACACACGGTGGCATACGTGCTGTTCTGCCCCTTCCTTTCTTCTTTTGGTATATTCAAGAATTCTTCCCCTTTTAGCACACAGCAGACTGGCTTTTTAAAATTCTGTCTGGAATAGCATTGTCTGATTTCAGTAATTTTTAGGCAGTCATATACTGGTAGAGTTAGAGTATGTTCGATCCTTTGCTACTAGAACCCTTATTGTAACACATATTTCTTTCTTTTCTTTTCTTTTTTTTCTGAGGGGGTACTGGGAATTGAACTCAGGGGTACTCAGCCACTGAGCCACGTCCCCAGCTCTAATTTGTATTTTATTCAGAGACAGGATCTCACCACTTCCAGAATGTTCCCTACAGAACATTTTAGCGCCTCACTTTTGCTGAGGCTAGCTTTGAACTCATGATTCTCCTGCCTCAGCCTCCCAAGCTGCTAGGATTTCAGGTGTGCGCCGCCGCCCCCGGCATAACACGTGTTTCTTTGTATGCATTGTTTTGCACCTGTGAGGTACTTGCTAGAGCATGAGTCGTGGGATGAGGGTGTGTTTGACTTTGGCTCCCTGGAAGACGTAGTTTCCTTCACCAGCCCCATGTGAGCACACCTGTTTCCCACCCTTCAGGTTTTGCCAATATGATTGATAGACCAAAAACAGTACCTCAGTGTAACCTTGATCTGTGGGTCTCTGATTATGCTCTTGGAGCCTCCACGCTTCTGTTTTCACCACTCCTGTGTGTACCTGAAGGCTGTCGCTGAGCAGCCACAGCAGACACAGCCAGCCAAGCTCCAGCTCCCGGGACCTCCCAAGGACCTCCCAAGGTCAGCCGTCAGGGCGCTTTGTACATTGCAGTTAAGGTGAGATCTTCACTCAGGATTCTTGCGTTTCCATGTTTTTTGAAGAAATTAGCCCTTTGTCTGAAGCATGAGCTGTCGGTGTTTTTCTTATCTTTAATTTCTGTACGGATTTGTTTGTTTGTTTGTGGAGTTAGGGATGGAACCCAGAGCCTGTGCATGCAAGGCAAGCACTCTGCCAGCTGAGCCGTATCCCCAGCCCTAAAAAAATGCTGAGCTGTCCAATCTCTCCTGGGAGGAGTTGGTTTTCGCCATGATTTCTTCTTGGCCAGCCAACCCTGGAGGCTTGGTGCTCAATCTGAAAGGGCTGCTGCGGCTGCATCTCCTGAGCTAGGAGCACTGATGTACCCCTCTGAGATGCCCACCGCATCAGAGTGGCATCAACCCAGAAGAATCTCGGGTCCCTGGGAGCCTGAAGTAGGAGGACAGCAAGTTCTTGGCCAGTCTCTCAATTTGTGAAACCCTGTCTCAAAACAGAAAGGACTAAGGGTGCAGCTAGTGGTAGAGCACCCTGGGTTCAATCCCCAGTACCAAAAATAAAATTAGATTTAACATATTTGTAAGGTCACTAGCTCATCTCCCACTGTCCATTTTGAGGAGGTTTTCACTGTTACAATTCTTTGTAACAAGGAATTGCAGGTTTTCATTCCTCCTAAGAAGTCTCCTCTTAGGAGCATGAGCACTGGCTAACAGGATCTGGGGTTAAACTTCAGGGAGCAATGGACATCTGCCTTTTCCTCACTGGCATGGGACTCTTGGGTTCTTTATTTGTTTGTTTGTTTTTTGGTTTTGTCTCATGACAGGGTCTCCCTGAGTTGCCCAGCCTGGCCTTAGAACTCAGGATACTCCTGCCTCAGCCTCCAGAGTAGCTGAGGTCACAGGCAGGCACCACCACATCCATCTGGCATATTATTTTGTAAAAATGATGTGTCCCTCCTCATTCAGAGATGACAGACTTGAAGAAACAAGAGGCCCCTGGCCTCCCACCTCTGTTCAGTGCTATAATGGTGGTTACTTTAAAGATTTAGTGTTTAGCCATCACAGTTATTTCTACTGTGTGTGTGTGTGTCAAAACTGTCCTGTTACCTGCACCCCATGGGAATGCAGACTGGGATTTTCTTCTCGGCCAGCCTGTGTGGAGGACTGTGCTCCATGATCCCCAGAGAGCTCCGTGTTCTTCTGGGCTTGCACCCTTTTCCAGTATGGTTGGGCTAGCACTTATTCCACCAGCCCTTTGCTGAATTTGTCCTATGGAATTAGCTCTGTGCAGTTTATGAGAATATCTGTAGGGAACATTCTGGAAGTGGAGTTGCTGGGGCAAAGGTAAATGAACACTTGAAATTCTGAAAAGTATTTTCACGTTCCCCTGCCCCAGGTCGTGTTAACTTACACCCCCAGCTCTGTGTGGGGCTGTTTTCTCACAGGCACATGAAGTCTCCCTGTTGTAGTTGATCCTGTTGTCAGAGGGGTTTAATACCTTTTTAAATGCCTAACAACTGTTGTGTTTCTTCACCCGATTGCCAAGAATAAAACAGGACCATCTTGTCTTTTTAGTGTGATTGTAGATCATAGCTTTGTTAGACATCTTCCTTTTCAGGAGCTCTGGGTAGGCAGACTGCTGGTCTTCCTGTTGGGCTATGCTTAGGAAGACTTCACCTATTTATGATTTACGATCCCCAGGAGTACAGAAACAGTCTACTCTGTTTTATTTTAGTCTTTAGTCGTTGCAGTTTGTTTTTGTGAATAGTATAAAGTAGGACATCACTTTATTTTTCTTCTGGAGAGCTGACATGCCCCACCTTGTTTTTGAACAGTTCACGTTCTTCTCCATAATGTGAAATGCTGTCAAATAGTAAATCATTCACTGGGAGCCTATGTAAACAGAGACTGTGGAACTCCACTTTTGAGCAGATGTCAAAATTATTTGGTGAAATGTTTACTGAAACTAGAAATCATTATATGCCAGAGAAATACAACTAAAAACACAGTAAGAATGTAAAATGGAAGGACTTTTGAGCTGTACATTTAGTACTTTGCTATCAGTGGATAAACACAGGTGCCTCGGCAGACTCGTGTGCTCTGTGCTGTGTGTAAATCTTGCTCATACACAGGTGAAGTGCAGCAGGGCCACCTGCGCCTCGTGTCAGAGCTGTAGCCTTGTGCCACTTTTCCAGACCGTCCCTGTCCCCTGGCCCTCAGGCTCTTCTCGCCTCTCCGCAGCCCAAGTGTGCCGGCCAGCTCTTGCTGATGCAGGTGTGGAAGCGCTTGAACCTGATCGAGTGCGACTACTTCGGGTTGGAGTTTCAGAACGTCCAGTCCCACTGGGTATGTGCTTTTGATTTGCTTTTGGAAACAGGCTGTAACTGTGTTATAGGATGTTTATGACGTACTCAGTGCATAGAGCCTTGGAACCTTCTGTAAGGATGAAGGCAAGCTGTTTGATTATTGGAACATTATTTTTATCAGCGCTGAGCTATTAAAGTGCTTTATCTTTAGCCATAAAGAGCATGTCCGTCTTTAACGAACCTGAATTCACACCTCCCTAAACCCACTCTGCTTACAGCACTGTGTGCCAAGTTACACAACAGCCTCGGATGCATCTGCCTAGTAAACATTTTGAAAGTGAATTTTGAGCAAATTGAACTGGTTCTGCCTTGTTTTACTTAAGAGACAAAACCTTAAACAGTGTGATCCCCCAGTGTTCTTAGATGTGACTGTCATAAAGAGACCCACATCAGCCTCTCCGTTCAGGAAGCATGTTGTCGGCTTAGCTCTGGGTCTGGCCCTCAGCTGTCCCTGCACAGCTGGGTTTGCCCGAGGGTCTCTGCTCTGGTGCCACAGAGGGCCTGTCTCATGCGGTGGCCCTCTCGGGGGTTGTGGTCTGAGAATACGATGTGGTGTTGACCACATCCCCGAGGTGATCGCTGGTGCCTGTCCTGTGCACAGTGACTGAGTGCTGGGCTCAGGAGAGATGACTAGTGTGACAGCAGTTTAGTGTCCCCCCGCTCTTGAAGCAGGCATTGCTGAGCTTCCCATGGTTTGTCGAGATTCGGTTTCTATAAAAAGGGAGTAGAGTCAAAATATCTGTGTTATAAAAATTTCTCTTGATCATAAGTATTTTTGTATTTTATAGCAAGATACAAAATACACTTATTAAATAGGAAGATCATTAATCGAGTTTTTCTCTTTTGTTAAATTCTCTTTAGATCTGGCTTGAACCTATGAAACCCATCATTAGGCAAGTACGAAGTAAGTCCTTTGTGTAACTCTCTTAACTGTGGTCACCAGATGCCTGTTGTAGAATGCCGAGGCTGCAGGTGTGTCCACACACTTGTGTCACTCCACGGCAGATGAGCTTAGAAGCTGTTTGCTCTTGATTACAGCTGTAGAGGAGAGGTGGGTGGGATGACACATCTGTCTCAGGTGGTCCTGGGTGACCACCTCACATTGGAAGTTATAGGATATATTGTTTGGTATCTTAAATTGTGGCTAATATGTAAAACAGTAAGCATGCACTTTGTACACAGGCTGTGAAAATGCACTATGGTGCCTCTCTTAGGTAGCTTGCTTGCTGGCTTGCTTGCTTACTTATTTTGGTGTGCTGGGGATTGAACCCAGGGCTTCTTGCAAGTCAGGCAAGAGCTCTACCACTGAGCCACATCCCCAGCCCATAGGTAGCATTTTGATAAAATGTTAATACTGTTCCATAATGATAAACGTAATTGTAATTGTGAGCATAATTGTTTTTGTTAGTTTCCTTATTAAACTTAAATATGAAGGCATACAGTAATAGTCCTCAGTTCTTATATATATCATATACGATAAAGTCTCTAATTTTCTGAATCACCATAACTATTTTTTTTCTAGTACAAAGTTGAAGACAAGAGGATGTGTGAAAGTAACTTTGTCCTGCACAGATGCGCGAAGGCTGTTTAGGTTCCCTAGTGTCTTAGCAAATGGCTCCTCCTTATTATATTGTGTGCATGTGCAAACATACAACTGTACATCCAACCACATGTGCAGCTAGCTACAACACACCAGTAGGCACATGTGGAGGAGAAATCTGGTGTGTGCAGTCACAGACAGTGCCCGAGACTTGGCGACAGTGGTCGGTGACGGCCGCCGGGTGAAAGAGCAGCTGCTCTTGTGGTGGAAATCGCATGCTGTTTTACTATTAAATTTCTGTGGCACAAAGACATTCAGTTCAGCTATATCTTATGCCTTTTCCTTACAAAAATCAGTTCTAGTTCAGTATAGTAAGTGGTAGTAACATTTTCTTTCATTAATACATATAAGGATTTCAAAAAAAATTTTTTTACTACTGCATTAAAATGGTATTAACACTTGAACTTCATCATTTTTATCCTAAAATGTAAACAGGGATTTAAAAAAATTTTTTTAATGATGTTGGGGATTGAACATGGGCCTTATGCATGCTAGGCAAGTGCTCTACCACTGAGCAACACTCCTACCCAGGAATATATTCCACAATTTAATGGGCAGTTTCAAAGGGTTTATAAAATAATCTCTGCTTAGGGAAATAAAAGATTTGAAATTTCTCTTCAGTATGTGTGATTGGTGCTTAGGATTCATACTCGTGCACAGGAAATGTTTTAATACCATCCTACCAGAGGAGAAAACGCTTAACAGCCCAGCCCATTTTAAAGCACTCACCCAATTACACAGTAATATATGGAAAGAGAATTAATACAAAAATCAGCTTTTGTGGAATCTAAAAGTTTCTTTTTATAGGACCAAAGAATGCAGTGCTTCGCCTAGCTGTGAAATTCTTCCCACCTGATCCTGGTCAGTTGCAAGAAGAATATACAAGGTGAAGAGCTCACTCTGCACTGGAGCTGCGGCCCATGGGGTCCTGTATTTATCTCTCTACCATGAGTGATCAAGAATGGATGAGTTAGTGCACACATAACAACAGAAAATGAAGAGTAGTTAAAGCAGCGCTGTGACAGTGACTCACGCACAGACCTGGATGTACAGCAGGCTTAGAAGGAAGGTCGCAGGGGGAACTTGAGAACGGAGGCTGGAAGGCTGTGTCAGGGCAGCGTGGTGCCGGCACCCCCCCCCCCCAGGAGCAGGCCTGGCATGAACCAGAGCCCCCGTGGGCTAAGGAGCAGCTCAGTCTGCGAGGCCTTGCAGATGCATGGAGCAGAGGCGTCAGGCCGTTTCTTTTGTGCTACTCCCTTTAATTCAAGGTTGCTTTTTTGCAGAAATGATTGAAAGACAGTGTGAATAGTAGTCATCTGGTCAGTAAGGAGATGGCAACTCCTTTCTTGTGCTTTTTTTTTTTTTTCCCTCCTGTATGTTAAAAAAAAGAGAGAGCAGAAAGAGCAAGAACTAAAGCAGGACCTAAAAGCCAGCTTGAAGCCCCAGGTCAGGTGCAGGTCACAGAGGACGGGGGCCTTGTCATAGCAGCAGCTGAGCGCCTCTCTGCCCTGAGTCCCGGCTGGACCCACAGCATCTCAGAAACTCTGAAAGGTTTCTTGAGGTCATGTTGACATCTGGGAATTGGGAACGGTCACAGCAAGGAGAGGGAGAGAGCTCTTGCCCTCCGCCTCTGTTTTGAGGTTGAGGAGACCCCACTGCAGGGCTACGGAGGGCCTCTGTGAGTGAACAGAGTGTAGCTGGCAGCCTGTTGAGTCTCTGGAGGGACTCGCTCTGAAATAGGTCTCCTAACAGTTGTTGGTAACAGGAAGTGCTCTCCAAGTTAGAACCCTGGCCTCAACCTTAGCAATCAGACCCGGGAGTCAGTTTGACCTTTGCTTCCCTTTGCCTCATTTTTAAGCAGTCAGTCCTTTTTTTTATTTATTAAAAAGTACATGGTTTTGACAAAAGAAAAACTTTTTCACATCACAGTATGTAGAATAAAAAGCAAAAGTTCTCTGTCCCTGCTCACAGACCCCACTCTCCAGGTAAGTGCCAGTGCTTGAGCAGGAGTCTTCCTGACGAGTGGCAAGACCCCGGGAAGTGCCGTCTCACACGGCCGTCGTGGCAGACAGGCAGCTGCGGCCGACCTTCCGCCTGAGCCCGCAGGCTGTGCCTGGATTCACTCAGTCATTCTCATATTCCAGTTTCTCTCTGACGAAATGCTGCAAACAGCTGTCATTTTTGAACTCCAAGAATATCACTCTAGAAAAATTTTGTAGGAGTGGAACTACTGAGTTTAAAAGGCAGCAAATCGTAAATTGCAAGAGAATGTAGTAAATTTTAATGGCTTGCACTATTTGCATTGCGAATTCCAGGGAGGGGAGGGAATTAGTGTTCACCATTGCATTCGTGCTCTGAGACCAGGACCTGGAACTTAACACATGCTGTCATTACCCAACAAGTGAATATGGAAATATTTTCCAACTGCTTTCTCTGTTCACATTATCATCAGTTGTATTTCACAGTGCCTGTTTCTCAGATTCTAGCCAATACAGATATTATCAGTCTATTAAAGATTTTCCCAGTCATAGTTTTAAGCTGTGTCTTAATTGTATATTTCTGGTATTTCACCCAAGACTGAGTACAGTTTTATACCATGCGTTTGTGGACCTCCTAGCTGGAGGCACTGCTGCACACAGTGTGGTTGTGGGTCTGTGGTATGCCTGGAGGGGATGGTTCCTTTTTGGCATGGCTTTGCCTGTGTGCTCTCTGAGCTGTGTTCAGTCTACTGAACCCATCTGTCATCTGACCTTTGGTTGGGGCCACTTGTTGCCATAAGGCCTTTTGTGACCTGCCTGTTTCATGGGGGCCCTGCATTTTGCTCCCTGCTGGTTACTGCTGCTTCTGGGGCCTCTTTGCTTTCCTGCCGACAGAGGACATTTGGAGCTGACCTCTCTGGTCTTGAATTCCCTTCTAGGTACTTGTTTGCCTTGCAACTCAAGAGAGACCTCCAGGAAGAGCGCTTGGCCTGCACTGCCACCACAGCGGCCCTGCTCACATCCCATCTCCTGCAGGGTCAGTGTCTCTGACTCCCCACTCCCCGGGAGCTGGTACCGGCTGGGTCTTAGGCACCACACTAAGGACGAGCCACAGTTAGTTGCTGGTGCACATGCATAATCACCTCAAAGAATGAAGTATTCACCTTGATTTTATTCTTTTTTTTCTTATTTGTTTGCAGTGCTGAGGAATTTGTGTTCACCATTGGCCTCCCCTGGGCTAGGCAAGCACTATACCACTGAGATATATCTTCAGGCCTTTTTTATTTTTTAATTTTCAGACAGAGTCTAGCTAAATTGCCAAGGCTGGCCTCAGACACCTGCCTCAGCCTTCTGAGTCACATTCTTTTTTTTTTTTTTTTAGTGGTAAATGGGCACAATATCTTTATTTATTCATTTATTTTTATGTGGTGCTAAGGATCAAACCAGTGCCTCACATGTGCCCAGGCAAGTGCTCTACCACTGAGCTACAGCCCCAGCCCATGAGTCTCATTCTCGGTGGCCAAGGGTCACCTTCTGTGAAGACATCCTAACAGATGTCTCCACCTCGAGGCTGGAGGCCAAACTCTGTACCCACAGTCCTTCTTGAGTCTCCTCTCACCTATGGCTTTGTGCATTTTAACAGTGTGCCTTCAGTCTAGATCTAGACCATCAACCAGATTCTCAGCACACCCAGAGAGGGGCCTCCTGGGAGCCAGCCACAGTCCTCTGGGAGGAGTGAAGCATTAATGGTGGAGGAGAAAGCAGGCCTTTCCACAGTGTCCCCTACCAGCAAGAGATAGGCAAGGTGTGTGAAGGGTGGTGGGTCCCTTAGCAGTGGGAGGAGGTCCTGAGAAGCAGACATGTGCCACCAGGCCCCAGAGCCACCTGTCAGCTGGAGAGGGCGTGCCCACGCTGCTGCCCCCTGGAGCACCGCGGCCTCACACGCGTGTGTCTCTGAGCTGTGAGTGCAGGACGGTTGGCATGTGTGGCTGCAAGAACTGTGGGGTCAGTAAGTGCGGGGCTATCTGCAGTCCCCACCCTTCCTCAGGCACACATGCCCTGCTGGGGCTGGCCGTCCTGCACTGTGGACTCCACGACACACTCTCAAAGGGAGTCTCAAACTGAGTCTGAGTTTTCCAGTGGGGCCAGAGACCCTGTTTGACAGGCAGCACTTGGGTGCTTCCTCCTGGCTGCTGGCTAGAAGCACTTGTAGAGGGCTCTGTGTGGTCTGGCTGGGCTGCCAGAGTCAGCAGTGGCCCACCGCAGTGTTCCCTGGGGTGCTGCCTTGTAGCAGGGTGCTCTGAACCAGGGCTGCTGCTGTAGAGACGGGCCTGCACTTAGGAGAGGCAGCTAGCTGACACTCTGGCCGCACTGTGCTGTGAGTCAGAATGTCCCCACTGGCATCGTGGATGGGCACAGTGTGGGTGGTTCACTCTCCATTGGCTCCAGGTGGGCAGTTGGTGCTGTGCTCGCAACCTTCCTGTGAATTCAGGATTGTTTTAGAACATTTCAGAAGCATGTATTGCTTGAAATGATTGAATGTAATACTGCATCCAAAGACATTTATGGGGGCTGGGGATGTGGCTCAAGTGGTAGCGCATTCGCGTGGCATGCGCGGGGCACTGGGTTCGATCCTCAGCACCATATAAAAATAAAATAAAGATGTTGTGTCCATGAAAACTAAAAAATAAATATTAAAAAAAAACATTTATGGTCTTAAAGTAACATGAAATCACAGACATTATTTCTTAGGAAATTTGAGAAGCCCTTCAGGAAAAAGTGATTTAAAATACATCATCTTGAAACAAATAACATACATTAACCGGGTCACAATGGCCATGAGACAGTTTACTTATGAAGTGTGGTGTAAAAAATAGTGAGCACACAGACTCGGGGCTCATGATTAGACTCTTTGAAACCCTTCACCAATCTTTGCTCTTTAGGAGTCAGGAAAAATTTCTTCCACCTGCCCTCTTAGTTGGACAACATAAAATATTTGGAAAACTAAGGTACAAATTTTGTTTTATTTTAGGAATATATCATTTTGCCAGGCAAAATGGCACACGCCTGTGTTCCCAATGACTCAGAATGCCAAGATGGGAGAATGGCAAGTTGGAGGGCTGCCTCAGCAACTTAGCAAGACCTTGTCTCAAAATAAAAAAGACCTGGGGATGGGGCTGGGGCTCAGTGGCAGAGCACTTGCCTAGCATGTGTGAGGCACTGGTTCGATCCTCAGCACTGCATGTGAATAAATGAATAAAATAAAGGTCCATCAACAACTAAAATAAAATTAAAAAAAAAAAAAAAGAACTGGGGATGTACCTCAGTGGTAAAGCATCTCTGGGTTCAATCCCCGATACCAGGGGGAAAAAATACAGGAATATATTATTTTACTACAGACTTAGGGTGGGTTTTCTTACTGTTGGTTTGTGCATGTGCACGTACAAATGCTTGTCTGTTACTTTATTTCATAATCTGAACAACTGACTTCTATCGTCTCATCTCAGCGGAAATAGGAGATTACGATGAAACCCTGGATCGAGAACACCTCAAGGCCCACGAGTATTTGCCTAGCCAGGAGTGCTGCCTCGAGAAGATCCTGGACTTCCATCGGAGGCACATGTAAGTGCCTTGTCACTGCAGTTGCGGTTGCTGGCATGTAACCAGAAGGGGTCCTCGCAACCAGAAGGGGTCCTTGTTCAGGCTTCTAAAGGAATGACACCTGTTGCTTCCCAGCCTCAGGACACATTGTGGCCCCAGGGTGGCTCTGCTGACACAGGTCACAGCTAGACTAGGTTCAGACACAGACCCTCCTCATTCAGGCTGAGGACCCCAGGGCTTGTATAGGAGGCTGGCAAGTAGAGCACTCTGTTGATAGGGACTTCTGCTTGCCTGGAGGGACCTGGCCAGGGGTACTGCACCCAGGGCCAGGCGGGATCCTCATCCTGAAGCAACTTGTCACTTGTGGAGTGGGACAGAAGGAGCATTTGCGCACATTGCTGGTGGTAGTCGTGCTGAAAACCACTCTTTGACCTACTCCAACAGCTTCCTCTTGAGACAGGATGTAGGGCATGGAGGGTGCTGAGTGGGAAGGGCCCTGGGGGCTGAGAGCTCTGACTCTTAGTCATTGTGGGACGTGGCCTGAGGACCCTCCTGCCTTCTGGAAGACTCCTCCTGCCCTCAGGCGAATGTTGCACTGCAGCCTTGGTGACACTGCCCTGCGACCTGGCGGTGGCCTTCGCACTCCCTGTGCAGGGTCTGAGTGCCAGGCACGGCTGCAGTCCTCCCTGTCTCAGCACTGCTGGGTCAGTGTGAACAGCTCCCTTGGACTCGGGGACCCTGTGAGATGTTGTGGGTCACATGCCTGTGACCAGTCAGTGGGCGGGGAGTACCTTTTGTATGCCTGGCATTACGGCAGGTTCCAGATCAGAGAAGCACCCCTTTGGGTGAGAATTTGAGTGCACAGCAAGCACAGCCCCAGTGTCCCTGAGCTCAGGTCGCAGGCAGAGCCTGCTTGGCAGTGGGAAGGCCCTCTGAAGGCATGCAGCAAAGGAGGTGGCAATCAGGCACAGCCATAGCCTGGGAGAAAGGGTGGGGGAGGGACGGTTCCAGCTTCGACATAGTTAGCATGCCAGCTGATAGAGAAGGCACAGCCATTGCCATCAGAGAGAGTGCCATGGCATGCAGGCCCCTGTGCCCAGTGCTTCACGTAGTCCATAAACACCCATGTGGTACATCCTGTCGTTGTCCCTTTGTCATGGGTGAGAGCTTGCAGAGCCCTGCCATAGGTATACTGTGCAGGCTGCCTGGGTGTCTTTCAGTGCTTGTAGCCCAGCGTCCACTTGCCTTCTCTGACGGCTCTGTTGCCCTGGGTGCCCCTTGGCTTTCCCCCAGCTGATGGCAGGGAAGGTGTAGCTACTGTGAGTTCCAGACCCTGAGGCCCTCATAGCAGAAGGCCCTCTCCAAGGGGAGGCCGTCACCCATGCAGGACTTATTCCTCCCTGCCGAAAAACACAGAGCAGGGTCTGGACACCTTGAGGAAGAGTGGATTGGGCACTGTTTAGCCCATCCCAGTGGACAGATGGGTTCAGGATGCTGGGGAGCGTGTTTCAGCATGCAGGCCCTGTGTACCTGTGCAGCCAGTGAGACCTGGAAGGGAGGAGAGCCGGGGACCCCCCACAGAGCACGAGCCCCGAGAGGTGGGTGACGCCGGAGGCACCCATAGGAAGCCCTCAAGCAGCCCAGGGCATGGAAGGCATGTTTCAGGCCATAGCACCTTGGGTAGAGGCTTACCTCATCCCAGAGAGGTCAGAGAGAAGTGCACCTGTGACCTTCAGCCTCAGTGCACGCTCAGAGCAGGTCCTGGGTTTACTGCATCTAGGATGAGAAGCCTGCCCATGAAAGGGAGAGCTGTGTGTGTCCCTATGTGTGCAGGTGTATGCCTCTGTGTCCATGTGCGTGTGTACTTCTAGGTATGTGATCATACACACGTGTTCATGGTGTGTCTCTGTTCCTGGTATGCTCTGTGTTTATGTATATTCATGTTGCTGTGTATACACACACGTTCTTGCATGTTCACATGTGGGTTGTGTGCTGTGGTCATGTGCATATGCCTGTGTTTGTATATATGCATGTATGTGTTTGCACATGTGTGTGCCTTAAGATGTGTGGTGCTCCCTGCAGTGAGCTGGATCGCTTCACAAATCAGGGCCCTTGGCACTGCCTCTGGGGTGCTCACTTTGTCTGCCGCAGCCATGACAGGTACGTTGCACATCCTTCGTTTTTTTAAGTCACTCTTTGTTTTAGTCAGCTTGGTGTGACTGAGGCAAAGAGACCTGAGAGGAGCAATAGAGAGGAGGAAAAGTTCATTTTGGCGCTCAGTCTCAGAAGTTTAGTCCATGATCAGCCAACTGCATACTTCTGGGCCCTTGAGAGGTAGAAGGACGTCATGGCAGAGCGACGCAGCTTGTGTCGGGACAACAGAGGAGAGAGTGAGAGTTCTGCTCATAGGGACAAAGGATAAGCCCCCAAAGGCACAGCCCCAGTCACCTGCTTCCTCCAGCTACCCCTACCTGCCTGTAGTTACTGCTCTGTTGATCCATATCAGTGGATTGATCCACTGATTAGATTACTCCCCTCATAATCTAATCATTTCACCTCTGAAAATTCTTGCATTGTCTCACACGTGAGATTTTGGGGGGGTACCTCATATTTAAACAATAACATTCCGCCTTGCCCCCCCAGAAGTCATGCCCATCTCACAGTGTAAAACATTTAGACCATTTCCCAGAGTCCCCATAGTCCTGACAGTTCCAGCATCACCAAGAGTCCAAGTCCAAAGTCTCATCTGACAAACTCTAGGTTTTCTCCTCTGTAAAGGTCAAAAGCAAGTCACATATTTCCAGTATAAACTGGCAAAGAGTGAACGCTCTCATTCTGCAAAGGAGAAACGGAAGCCTAGAAAGAAGGGATGGGACCAAAGCAGGACCCGATTCCAGCCGGGCAACAGGTCCTGTAGCTCCCTGGGACCTCACTGGTCGCAGCCACATAGCCGCTCTCTCCACTCATCTCTGCACAATTCCTGATGCTGTCCTCAGCAGACGTCCCATGGTGCCAGCGTCTCTTCCCTTGGGGGTCTCCGCTGAGCTTCAGCCTCCTTCCCACATCTTCATGCGTTGCCTCTCTGAGGTGGCCTTCAGGGACTCCCACCCTGCTGCACTCTCCCTGGCCTCCATGACTAACTCCAGTGGCCTGCAGTTCTGCAGAACCAGCACATGACTGATGCCAGGGTCTGCCACCTGGCAGTAGCCACGCCTTCTGAGACAGGCTGCAGTAACCTGAGTGCCTGGGTGGCTGAGCACAGTGCAATGATCTCCAGGCCCCTCGTGCAAGCAGGGTGCCCCAGGGTCTCTTGTCAGAGGAATGGCTTTTACAACCTCGGGCCTGAAGTGGGCATTCTCTTGCCAGTTCCTGAGATGCCCTACGTCACCTTTCCACTTGTTTCTTGGTAAAGGTCGTAGCGAATCTTCAGTGCTGTGATCTCTCGACCACGCCTTCTTAGCCCCAGTTTTCTAGCTTGACTGTGAGTTTTTCAGATCTTCCTGCTCTGCTCTGCTTATCACAGTAAACCTGGCTAAAAGCTGCCAGCAGTGTCCATGCCACCTACCTGTGCTGCCTTGAAACTTCCTCTGCAGATTAATTACTTCATCAACTTTAAATTCAGTCTCACAGAAAATCTCAGGGCATGGACAAAATGTGAACAAGTTCTTAGCTAAAACATAAAAGGAATGGCTCTGATCCAGTTTCCAGTATGTCCCAGTTTCTGTTGGAGTCTGCTTTACATCACTGTGACCAAAACCCAGCAGCAACTCAGAGGAGGAAAAGTGTACTTAGCTCATGGTTTCAGGTGCTCGGGCCATGGTCAGCCAACGCCATAGCTCTGGCTCGAGGTGAGGCAGAACATCATTATTGGAAGGTGTGGAGGAGGAAACAACTCAAGACATGACAACTAGGAGGAAAAGAGAAACCCAAAGGCACGTCCCCTAGTGACTCCTTTCCCTGCTGCACAGGTACCACCCAGTTAATGCATATCAGTGGACTGACCCACTGCTTAGGTCACACCTCTCACAATCACTTAAATTCCAAACATTCCTGCATTGTGTCACACATGAGCTTTCAGGGGACACCTCAGATTATAACATTGTTTGCTCAATTCTTTTTCTTCCAATACCTTTATTTATTTTTATGTGTTGCAGAGGATTGAACCCAGCACCTCACACGTGCTAGGCAAGCGCTCTACCACTGACCCACAGCCCCAGCCCAGCTGAAGTTTTAAAGACAGTAGTGTACCTTTGGGGGGCTTTGTAGGCAAGTGGTGAAGCACTTGCCTAGCATGTGTGAGGCACTGGTTTGATCCTCGGCACCACATAAAATAAATAAAATAAAGGCATTATGTCCATCTATAACAAAAAAAATTTTTTTTAAATAATGTACCTTTGGGCTGGCATTGTAGCTCAGTGGTAGCATGCTCACCTAGCAAGCGCGAGGCCCTGGGTTCAATCCTCAGCACCACATAAAAACAAAGGTATTGTGTCCAACTACAACTAAAAAATATATATATATTTTTAAAAAAATAGTATACCTTTATTTTAATCGAAGTAAGTTTCTTTCTTTGTCTCAGAATTCTAATGGCTCTTCCACAACCCACTGGAAATCCTTTATAAGCCTTGGACAAGATATCCAGATGTGTTTTTCTTGATGTCACCACATTTCTTTTGGATCTTAGAAACTGCGGGAGGAGGTTTTGCAGTTGGCTGTGGATCTGGTTCCTGTGAGAAGTACAGAACTGAGTAGTGAAACATAGTTAGGAAACCCCTGACTCCTCAACCATAGGTGGAGTGGTTGTCCGCCTATGCACTGAATGGTGGCACACGCCTCTGATCCCAACAGCTCTGAAGGCTGAGGCAGGAGGATTGCGAGTTCAAGACCAGTGTGGGCAACTTGGCGAGGTCCTGTCTCAAAAGAGCCGGGAGTGTGTAGCTCAGTGGTAGAATGCCCCTGGGTTCAGTCCCTAGTTCCACAACAAAAGGAAGAGGGGTGGGAAATGTTCCCTGGTGGCTTTGCAAATAATTAGTATTTCCAATTGGTACCTGTTAAAATGCAGTATACTTTGTGCTGGGTCCTCTTCGTGGTGATTGGGGTTTATGAACATGTAAGGCAGTGGTCAGTGTCCACAGCATAGTCCTGGAACAGAAGTCACAATGACAGAGAATCCACATAGTCACTTTGTTCCTTGAAGATTCAAAAACTCAGGTATTTGACACAAAAAGGAAGAGTTGTTAGGTAAGTTCCCACATGTGGGCACGGGCTGTGGGGTCCCGGGAGCTCCCACATGTGGGCATGGGCTCTCGTGGCTTGCCAATAGTTGTGTCTTCCTTGGCCCCAGCCAAGATGCATGTGAACGTTGCTCTCCTGGAGGCCACTTGCTTCCCCGAGGACCATGTTCAGTGTTCCTTGGTGACATCACCTGCACCTTGGATTGGGCAAAGATGACATTTTGGAAGACTATATGAATAAAGCCAATTATTTAGAGAATGATTTTTAAATACTTTTTTTGTAGTTGTAGGTGGACACAATATATTTACTTTTTTTCATGTAGTGCTAAGGATTGAACTCAGTGCCACACACATGCAAGGCAGGTACTCTACCACTGAGCCACAGCCACAGCCCGAGAATGATATTTTTATTCAACTTTGTTACTTGGTCTTTATAGAAGTGTATTGTAGCGCTTAGAAGTGTACATTATGAAAATACCTTCTTAAACATGAAATTGGCCTTAATGAGTCAGTGGTGTCATCAGTGACCTCTTCTCTGACTTAATTTTGATGGCTGCATGTGACCTTGTCCCTCCTGCAGCAGTCAGTGAACCTGAGGAGCACTCTGCTACTAGGGAGAGGCTTGGTGGGGAGCTCAGTGCTCTGCCTGCACATCGCCCGTGGGGTGGGCACAGAGGCAGGAGCTGCAGGACCTCCTTGCTGGTTGCTGGTTGGCCTTCTTGTTCTCTCTTTACTGGGCGGCTTCTTTCATATGTGTGGCTGTTGCAGAAACCCAGGGTCTCAGTGATGCCATCCAGTGTCCTTCCTTACAGGGGCCAGACGCCTGCTGAGTCGGATTTCCAGGTGCTGGAGATTGCTCGCAAGCTGGAGATGTATGGTATCAGATTCCACACAGCTTCCGACAGGGAGGGGACCAAGATTAACCTGGCAGTGTCGCACATGGGTGTCCTGGTGTTCCAGGTGGGTGGCGGGCACAGGAGGGGCGGGGGCTGAGCGACTGGGGGTGTTTGCTGTGTTGTAGGTGGATCTCTGTGTGTGCCTGAGGGGCCTCCTCCCAGGGTCGCCCACTCCCTTCCCTGCTCCTGTTTATCCTAATGCTGAACCAAAGCTCACCCCTGAGAGTCCCACCCAACCACAGCTCTGGCTCTTTGTGGGGAGGGGGACTCACAGTTGGACACTTGGGCAGCTCTGCCGGGATGCCGTGGCTGGGAACCGGTCATCTGTGTGCAGAGCACCTGCAGCCCAGGTGGGAAACAGAGGAGCCGGTGCTGGTGCTGCGAGAGGGAAGCACCTCTCTGAAAGTACTCAGGGAGGCCCACAGTGGGGACACAACGGGCCCCCCGGGTTTCAGCCCCCTGGAGTGTTGTGGACCAGAGAGTCCATGAGCCTGGAAGGAGCTGAGCAGTTGGTGCTGGGCTTGCACTGACGGCCACTAAAGAAGCCCTGCTGAGACGGCCCTGAGTGCCTCCAGCCTGCAGACAGGTGCATAGAGCCCTGTGGGCTCCATCTGGCTGCCCTCGGGCGCTTGCGCTGGGGCTTCTTTTTTTTTTTTAAAGAGAGAGATATTTTTTTTTAATATTTATTTTTTAGTTTTCAGCGGACACAACATCTTTGTTTGTATGTGGTGCTGAGGATCGAACCCGGGCCGCACGCATGCCAGGCGAGCGCGCTGCCGCTAGAACCATATCCCCAGCCCAGCACTGGGCCTTCTTGCTGGTTGCTGGGCTCCCTGCCTGCACCCCACCCCCCGCCCTCCCACATCGTGGCTCCGTGGCCTCGTTCTGTCGTGTTCCTTGCCCCACCACTGAGCTGCACTTGCAGTCTTTTATGTCTTGAAACAGGCCTCACTAAGTTGCCCAGGCTGATCTCGAACTGCAGTCCTCCTGCCTCAACCTCCCAGATTGTGACAGGTGGCCACCACGCCTGGCACGCAGTGTTTTCTGAGGCGTCTGAGAGTCAGACGCCCCTTCAGCACGTGCCGCCCTTTGCCCCAGGTGCCATGTGCAGCCGTCACTGACACCATTGGTGCACCTCTGTTCTCCAGGACACCATTGTTTCCCAGTTGGTCAACAAGCACAGTAGGTCTACGCTCTGCTCCCTCCAGGACAGGGTCCAGCTGGGACCAGGCGTGACGTCTGGCCTCAGCAGCATTGGGGAGCATGTTTTTCTTCTTTGTAACGACGTACTCCCTCTGTTCCCCGCTAGACTCGGGGGTGCCTTACCAGCTGGACCCTTGGAATGTCGTCCTGCCCTTCAGCATGGGGCGCCATCAGGTGCCTGGGCCGTCTGTGCTCACCAGGGGTGTTTCTGGTCCTTCCTCTGTGGCATTGCTGGTTGGTCTCTTTTCCCTGAGAAGCAGTCCAGGGAGACCCTTCGCGACCACACAGACGTCCAGCCGCTCTGGAAGCCCTTGAGCTGCATCACTGAACCAGGCCCTGCCAGGAAGGCCTCAAGCCTGCTCCCCGAGAGCCTGTTGCACTCGGCCCAGCAGTGGGCAGCTGGGGAGAGCCCCTCTGGTAGAGAGGTACTAGCTCACTCAGAACAAGTGGAGCTGGCACCGGGATGGCAGACACAGACGGGCAGAACTCCACCAAGGATAGCCTTCCCCTGTCAGAGCTTGGCAGACGGAACCCTGCTCCCTGCTGTGTGGAGCTGAGAGAAGCAGTCTTCCTTGGGCACAAGTGTGAAATCCATTTTATAATTTTCATTCTGGCCTTGTTTGTCATCCTGAAATACTGGGAATTAACCCAAGAGGCCAGTTTAAATGAATGGTGCACGCTCATATTCTGGGTGCGAGGCCGTGGGAAGGCGGGCACGGCACCCTCCACACCCAGCCCCTGGGCAGCCGAGCAGTGGGCGCTGCGGCAGGCTGCAGGATGGTAGGAGGGGCGGGGGGGGGGGCGGGGTGCTCGAGTCTCACCTCAGACCTCGTTGGTGTGTCACTATGTCACGTTTTCAGAAAACTCAGAAGTAAGAACGGGCAGGATGCTTTGGGAAGAGCAAGGTGACAAGCAGGTGCTTCCAGATGAAGGACTAGGGACCATGCTGGCAGAGTGACAGAGCGGGAGTTGTCACCGCCAGGCAGAGTAAAGTCAGGAGAGAGGGAAACAGAGACCCTGAGGTGACGGCAGGCAGGCAGGCACCCAGGGAGGCCTCCAGCGGCAGAGCCTCCATGCCCGCCCTGCTCAGAGGTGGCCCCAGGGTCGTCACCGTGGAAAGCTTCCAAGGAGGAAGAAGGAAGGAGAAGCTCCACGTGGACCGGCCATGTTGCCAACAGCCCTTGAAGCCAGCAGCATTGGGCAGGCAGCGGCCAGCTGGCTCTCCACACCTCAGCTTCTGTGCGAGGGGGAGGGAGCCATTTCAGACATGCATGTTTTCAAGAATTTAAGGACTCTTTTAAGGACACTGCTAGAGGAGAGCATGGGGTCTGAGGAAATAGACCCCTTGGGAGAGACAGGAGGGAAGGCCCGGGCCGCGCCAGGCTGGGAGGGTGCCCCCAGAGTCAGGACAACCATGAGTGGTCTCTCACGTACCCTTTGTTGCGAAATGCCAGCCTCGAGAAGGATGTGTGAGCTGGCTCAGTGACGGGTGTGTGTGACGTGAAATAAAGAGAACCAAAGGGAAATCCTAAAGTCAAATGCAAACTCACGTGCTCAATAATCCAGGAGTTTGGTGCAGTGGCTCACCAAATATCAGGAGGCCGAGGCAGGAGGATTGCAAGTTCAAGGCCAGCCTGGGCAACTCAGTGAGGCCCTGTGTCAAAGTTAAAGAAAGAGCTGGGAAAGAGCCTTTGCCTAGCACGTGTAAGGCCCCAAACCCTATCCCTAGCACCAACAGACAGACAAGCTGGACCCAAGCATGGTGGGTGGCCTGAGTCCCAGCTGCTCGGGACGGGAGCAGGAAGACTGTTGGAGCCCAGAAGTTTAAGGCCAGGGCAGCAAGGGAAACCCTGTCTCAGAGTGATAACAACAACAGCTGAACTTAAAATTCACCAAAAATGGGGGTGGTGGGAGGGTGGCGGGGGTAGTGGTGGTGACCCCACTCCAGGAGGCAGGTCTCGGCATGGGAGACGCGCTTGTGCACTTGAAGGTGCCTGTGGTGCCGGTGCGTCCGGGAGAAGCGATGCTTCTCCAGAGGGCGATGCTGGGCTGGCGCAGGCAGGGTGGGGACGGAGGCCCTCAGACACGGTGCTTTTTTAAGTTGACCCAAAGGGAGAGTGGAGAGCCAGCAGCAGCTGGAAGGCTCCTGCACCATCCCGCCCCCAGGCAGTGGCTTTCAAGCGTTGCCCAGAGTGCGTGAGTGTGGACAGGGCCGGGGCAGGGGGGTGTTTGAATTCTTGATGTGTGGGTTTTACTTTGCTTTGCTTTGAGGACACTGTTAGGAGAGGAGCTTTGGAAGGGAGCGTGGTCAGGACCCCACAGTGTGTTCTGGGAGAGGAACCTAGGTTCTGCTCCACTGCTCGTTCGGGCAGCCTTTGAAGCACTAAATGCTTCAGTCTCCATTTAAACCTTAAATCTTGACTTTGAGGACATCTCTTAACCCAAGAATTGCATTGTAATTGATAGAATTCACATACCACGAAATTTGTGTTAGAGTATGCAGATCCCTTTGATTTTAGACTATTTGCATAGTGTGTGACATCAACACACCGCATTCCAGAATATGTTCGTCATCTGAAGAACAGAGCCCCGGAGCCAGGTGCAGGGCCACACACCTGTGATCCTACCTGGGAGGTGAGGCACGGTGGCCAGTTTGAGGCCTGTCTCATAACAGGAAGGGTTGGGAGTGCAGCTCAGTGGAGAGTGCTCACCCGGCATGTGCGTGTGCGTGTGTGGGGGGGGGGGGGCCCGGCTCCACCCCAGCAGTGCAGGAAAGAACAGGAGAGGGCTGGGGCGGGGCTCAGTGGTGGAGCACTCGCCTCCCCTCCCACATGGGAGGACTGCCTTCCATCCTCAGCACCACATGAAAAAATAAATAAATAAATAAAGGTATTCCATTTATCTATAACTAAAAAAAAAAATGTATTTTTTAAAAAGTAGAGGAGAGCCCCACCCTGCTGCAGTGCTCCCCCAGCCCCCGGCCTGCGGGGCGCCCTCTGGGCCTGTCCTGGGCTCTCCACATGGTGCACTCTTGCAGAGCGTGCCCTGTCCTTGGCCTTCAGCTGTCTGTCGTGCTGGGTGCCGTTCCTCTTTGCAGCTGAGGGTGAAGGTGTTGCTGTCTCTGAAGGGTCCACTCCTCTCATCCCACCGCCTTCCCCCATAGGTGCAGGAAGGCTAACTGGTGTCAGTGTAGAAACTGGAGTGTGGGCAAAGTGTCCTTGTTGGCTTTTATTAGATCTTGCTTTGGGACCTTTCAAGTTCATTGAAAAGCTTGACAGTGGCACAGAGAGCTCTGGCTAGATAAGTACTTTCTGGACAGATTCTTTGAGACTCAGTAAATGTCTACCCCACGTATGCTCCTGGTGGCCTTGGGCTGGCTCTGGTGTCACGGGGACATGTGCCACTGTCCTCACACCACCCTGCAGGCTCACTCTGCTCTGGCTGTTGCTGCCTCGCACTCCGGAGCCGTCTGGAAGCTGCACACGTGTACACCTGCTCACACGTCTGAGGATAAGGACACCAGGCGTCCCCTTTGCTCCTGTTCCACTTCAGGCCTGGCCCTTCAGGCTTTCCTCAGCTCAGCCAAGAAGCCCGAGCACCCTGTCCCCTGTCGTGTTAGCACTGATTGGTAAAATTGTCATGAAGCCTCATCCAGGAAGTCACAGAAGAGTCAGTGTGTGTGCGCAGTTGTTCCCGAGGCCACGGAGGGTGTCAGACGGCCACTGTGCTGCAGGGGTTGTCCTGAGCCATCTCTGCTGCGTGAGGAGGAGAGTCTGCTGGGTGACAGCCACTGCACCTGTCTGTCTGTTTCAGGGAACCACCAAAATCAACACCTTCAACTGGTCCAAGGTCCGTAAACTGAGCTTTAAGAGGAAACGGTTTCTTATCAAACTCCACCCGGAGGTCCATGTAAGTATTTTGAGCACTTTTTAAATTATGAAAACATTATCCTATTAGAATATTGAAAGATTTTTTTAAAAAATACCTTGTAGATCCTTGCAGTGCCTTGCACACAGCATTGAAGGACAGGTGGGGCCTAGAGACACAAGGCCATCTGTCCCACAGGCCACACACACCCCCGGTTCCACCTGGGGCTTCAGACTCACCGCCCAAGTAGGCCTGAGAATGCACATGTCCAGGGCACCACTGCCTCATTCTGCAGGTGGCAAAGCCGAAGTCCACGTTGTCCAGAGTGAGCCAAAGGCTCCAGGGAAGCAGAGGACCTAGGGTCTCACTAAGTTGCTAAGGCTGGCCTTGACTTGCGGTCCTCCTCCCTCAGCCTCCCGAATCACTGGGATGACAGGCATGTGCCACCGTGCCTGGCTTCAGAGTAAGAACTTCTGTCCAGAGGAATCAAAGGGCAGCCCTGGTCTTGTCACATGCCTTTAAATCAGCAGCTGACCTCTGACTAGCTCTGACTGAAGAACCCTTGATGATCAGGAGATAAGTACTCCTTTCCTTAGAGTTCAGTCAATAAAGGAACGATTCCATCTGAATTTAAAATGGAAAGAGCAAATATCTGTGCAGTCTGATAGGTGAGAAAACCGCACTGCTCAGAGTTGTCCAGATTGTCACGTTCCCGTGGTACTGAGGAAACTGGGGACAGAAGCAGACCAGCTGCACCCTCTGTGCTGGAGCCGGTTGCCCGCCAGGCCAGCTGAGGCACACTCTGGACCAGTCAGAAGAAGAGAGCCATGGCCAGCAGGGCCTTGGGCTGAGTGGACATCCGCTGCGACGGAGCCTGAGGCCGATGGACTGTCGGGTGCTTGCGTAGCTCTCTAGCTGGGTGGTGCACGCCTGTCATCCCAGCTACTCAGGAAGCTAGGCAGGAGGACCCCAAGGTCAAGGCCAGCCTGCACAACTTAGCAAGGCCCTGTCTCAAAGTAAATGGGAGAAGGGCTGGGGGTGCAGTGCGGGGTGGGGCACTGCCCTGCATGTGTGAGGCCCTGGGTTCCATCCCCAGCACTGGAAAACAGAACGCAAATAAAAGGCTATTTTTTCTTGTGAGTACACACCTGTTTCTTGCAGTTATTCTGAGAAGGTAGAGAAAGAAGATAATTACTTGCTCATGTTACCAAAACAACTGATTGGAATAGCCTGATGTTTCAAGGCCCAGAGCCGTGTTGGTATCTGTACTTGGCAAAGTTACGTCTACATCCCTCAGCACCTTGATTTTTAAGACGAAATAGAGGAGTTATTATGGTGCTTATGGACAGTAATTGTGTTCAGGCCTGGAATTTGGTTTCTGGGAATATATCCTAAAGAACAGTTGTGAAGGAGAATGCAGTGGTTTCCCTATGAGACCCTGGCGTGGGGCGCCCCCGCGGTTCGGGTTTGGATGTGTGTTGTGCCTCAGGATGGGGGCAGGTGAGGTGCAGGGCTCTCTTCCTCAGTGTCCACAGGGAAGATACGCACTACGGCTTTCTCCACTGGACAAAGCCAACGAAACTAGAAGCCCTTATATTCAATTTTTAGGGGAAAAAAAAAACTTCCTAATTTTTAATTTTGAAACTGCCTGATGTGTGATCTGCTTCCTGAATTTACCTTCTCTTGTCCAGTACCTTGTCGTCAGGTTTGCTACTTGAACTGCTGTGTTTTGTTCCCAGGGACCCTACCAGGACACATTAGAATTCTTGTTGGGGAGCAGAGATGAGTGTAAGAACTTCTGGAAGATCTGTGTGGAGTACCACACCTTTTTTAGACTTCTTGACCAGCCCAAGCCAAAGGCAAAAGCTGTCTTCTTCAGCCGGGGCTCCTCCTTCCGATACAGGTAGGGCTGCCCCTGGGCTGCAGGGCTGGCCGGCCCCTGGTAGAGAGGGAGGTGGGCTGGGCAGACAGAACGGGCAGTGAGTAGCCACACGCAGGAGGTTCTCATGAGAGATGGTAACTGGACGGAGCTTATCAGCATAGTGGGACGGGGCGCCGCTCGGGGGCAGAGCGCTTGCCTAGCGCGTGCAAGGCCTGGGTGCATCCCCAGCACCACATATGAGAAGAAAACAGGCGTGACAGAAACGTTGCCTAGAAGACCTGCACGCTTACTATGAAGTATGACTTCAAGACGTGCACACGCCTGTCCTCGAGCAAGGACAGAGGCCTGTGCGTCACTGCTGGCTCTTTCTTGAGAACCTGAGCCTTTGTTCACAGTGGGAGAACTCAGAAGCAGCTGGCAGAATACGTCCGAGACGGTGGGGTGAGGAGAACGCCATATGAAAGGTGAGCCCTGTGGTCTCCAGGAGGTAAAGTCTGTGCTTTTAAAGTTAACATGTCAGGGGCTGAGGCTGGGGCTCAGTGGTAGAGCGCTTGCCTCGCACCTGCGGGGCACTGGGCTCAGTCCTCAGCACCACAAAAAAAATAAATAAAGGTATTGTGTACATCTGCAACTAAAAAAAATATTTTTTAAATTAATAATTTTAATATTTATCTGAATAAAAGTCATTTCAAATTTACCAATTTTTTTTTCCCCAACTGGGGATTGAACCCAGGGGTGCTTAAGCACTCAGCCACATCCCCAGCCCTTTTTTATATTTTATTTAGAGACAGGGTCTCACTGAGTTCCTTAGGGCCTCACTAAGTTGCTGAGACTGGCTTTGAACTTGGGATCCTCCTGCCTCAGACTCCTGAGCTGCTGGGATGACAGGCTGGGTTGACAGGCATGCGCACTGCAACCAGCTACAAATAGGTTTTTTGATGCTTGATTCCTGTTTCAGTTTCTGTAAAAAGGCAGCTTTGTAGTCCCTACAGCTGTCATACCCGTGTACGTGCATGTGTGTATATAGAGAGGTGCTACGTGTGCTTCCTCGTGTGCAGAGCTGAGCCGACGTGGAGTGGTTTACACAGCGCAGTGACTCACGATCTGAAACCCGTGGGAGAGGCCTCGTGATCCCACCTCCTGGGGATTCTGTTTTTGCTTTGATTCTCCTTCCTTGAATCCTGCCCATTCCTTGTTAAGTGCCAGTCTGAGCTTCATGCCCCACTGAGCTGTTCTTGCCTTCTTTCTCTCTGTGCGGGGGATTGGACCAGGTCTTGATGCCCTCCTCACGCCTGGCAGGTGCTCTCCGCTGAGCTGCTGCTCTGTGGGAGCTGCCCTGCTGCGGGAGCAGGCCTGGGAGGGGAGGCTACTCACTGCCCGTTCTGTTTGCAGATGGCACAGCAAGACCCAGGCATCCCTCCGTGCTCTGACTGCAGACCTGCCAAAACAGGTTAGTCCTCCCTGGCCGAAACCTTGGGGCACTGCCTCTACCCTCTGGAAAACCACCTGCGTAGCCAGAAGCTCAGCTCGTCACAGTGGTCGGCCCTGCAGCTCCAGCCCTGGGACTCTTCAGCCAGGGGTGCTGGGCGAAGCCCAGGCCCCGCCTGGAGCTCTGCCACTCAGTGTCCTTCCCACTGGGACCCTGCACAGCCCTCGGTGGCTTCCCAGCCCAGGTTTAGTTGTCGTGCAGGCATGCACAGACACCTCCCAGAAGGATGTGGCTGGGACGTCCCAAGGAGCAGCAGCTGCTGCTCCATCCCCTGCTTGAGGACGGTGTGATGGTGTGTCTGAGTGTTGATTTCTACATGCATGAGGGACTGCACGTGGAGCCCTGCTCCTTCCAGGGGGTCCTGAGTGTGCCTGCCCGAGCTGCCCAGGCTGTGCTTCCTGCCCTGTCGCCCGCTGGCCTGTGGCTGACTCTGAGCGGGGTTGTCGGCAGCTGCGTGTGCACCTGTATCTTGAGGCTCTGCTCAAACGCTGCTCCACATCCATGCCTCTGCTCTTCCAGGTGTCTCCCTCTGGAAACTCCTGTTACATCAGTTGGATTTAAAAAGGAATGTTTTTAATTGTTACTTTATAAAGTTTGAATTTAATTTCAAAGTGTGAACAGTCTAAAATGACATTCAAGCTTTGAGTTCTCTTACATTATATTCTAAGAACCAAGAGAATATTGAATGTGGTTGAATGATTAAGAGGAGGGAAGGATGAGCCAGGTGCGGCCCACACCTGTCATCCCAGCAGTTCAGGAGGCTGAGGCAGGAGGATCGCAAGTCCAAAGCCAGCCTCAGTGATTTATTAAGGTCTAAGCACTTGGCCATTTAACCACCAAGCCACATCCCAGGCCTTTTATTTAGAGACAGGCTCTGGGATGTGGCTCAGTGGTCAAGCTCCCCCTGAGTTCAATCCAAACTAAAAAAAAAAAAAAAAAAAGAAAGGTGGTATGATAGACACTGAGAGACAGACTGATCTCATGGACATGCCCTGCTCCGTGTCTAGAAGGTGAAATGCTGGGCCTTCTGCCATGGAGTCACTTGTGCTCCGTGTCACAGCACAGGCACACTGTGTGCTCTTCATGTCCTCTAGAGGACATGTGCGTGTATGGCCACAAGAGCAGATTGATCAGGGCAGCTCACAGGAGCATAGCTGGAGAGGCTCACGCTGGCCTCTGCAGGCTGGAGAGCCACAGGGGCCAGGGATGTGGAGTCCAGGCCTGAAGGCCTGGAGGCTCCCTGGAAAAGGACTAGTGAGAGGGCAGCTGGAGCCCAGGACCCAGGGCAGAGCAGCAGCAGTGGCTCGAACCCCTGGGCCCACTCTTCCTGCCTGTTGGACAGTGCTGCCCACATTCAGGGGAGGTGCAAGGCCTCCAGGGAAGCACCCTCCTGGACACAGGGACACTCCTGTGCTGCACGTCCCGAGTGCCCCCGGTGTGGCTGCACCCTCCCAGCCTGGCACACACTGCATGGTCCCCCTCCTGACTGACCGCTCTCCTTCTAGCCTCCCACGCTGGGGTGTGCCTGCACTGGAGTGAGGGTTTTCCCCAAGCACAGTTGCAGCTCAGGGTGGAGAGCTGAGTGACATGAGAAGAGGAAGCAGCATGCCAGGGACAGCATGGCCCTCCCTTCATTGCCCTGTGGCCATCCTCACCCTGCTCATGGGCCACTCCCCACTTGTGCGGGAGCCATGGCTTCGGGATGCCCAGGTCCCTCTGCCCTGGTGGGGGCAGGATGCCTTCCTGGCAGGGGCCCTCAGCCTTGTGATGTGTGGGTGGACTGAGGGGCAGTCCCCCTCCTGGACTGGTGTCACACTGTGCCAGTGGCACTGCTGGCCGAGTGGCACCATGAGCTGTGAGCACCAGACCCTTGTGCTGGCAGCCTCAGGTGATGAGGGTCCCCACGCCACAGAGGGGTACTCACTGCGTGACATAGATGTCACATGTCACGAGAGACAAAGGGGGATTATGAGGGATCATGAGCAGGTGATCGTGAGTCTGCATCACCAATGCTCTGTGCTAAGCGGCAGGTGTGACCGGTCGCCCCTTCCATAGAACCGTGAGAAGTGCATGGATATCCCAAGCAGGGCCCAGTTGGCTTTGCCGCTTCTAATTGTGACTTGTAATTTCATGTGCTCCTTTTTGTTTTCTCGATTTTGATCTGCAGAGCATCTCATTGACCGAGGGCTTGAGGACTTCTGCCTCCCTGTCTCCAGCAAATGTCTCCTTGGGTCCATTCCCCTCCTCCCCGGGGTCCCCTCCTGGCCTGCCCAGCTTCGAGGACAGCAGCAGCCCCCTTATAGACCCCCCAGCTCCCGACGCCAAACGTTCAGCCTCCGAGCGGAGCCGCAGAGCAGCAGCTGGAGGCCCCGGCCTGCCCTCAGCCCCCCCGCCCAGGCCCCCCGAGCCCCAGCTGGTTCCAGGTGTGGGGCTCTGTCGTGTGGTGGGCGGCCATGGCTCTGTCTGCCCTGTGGGGTGGAGTCTCAGTGCCGTGGACCCAGGTGCAGGGAGGGCCAGGGCCGGGCTCAGAGTCACCGGTGGCGATGGTAGTGCTGGGGGTGCCTTTCCCACAGGCTCACTCCTGTCCTTGGGGGAGGACCCGTGTGGCCAGCAGTGCCGTGGGGCAGGCCCTGTGTTCCCATTGACAAACGCGCAGCTGCAGGTGTCTGAGGAGTTCATAGACGACGACCCCGCAGACATCTCTTTCTTTGCTGGAGGCTCTGAGGCCTTTTCTTTCCCGCCTAGCTCTGTAGTCCCTCAGGAGCCCCAGGTCTCTGCCCAGCCCCCTGCACCTGTGTCCTTCCAGCACCTACAGTCTGCTGGGTCCAGCCCAAACAGCCTCTCTGCCGAGGCAGTAGATGCGAGCGTGGAAGACAGTTTGGAGTTTGGAGAAGGGAGTGATCTCAGTGGCACTTCCGATGCTGCAGAGCTGCTGGGAGTGCAGGTGCGTGCCTGCCTCCCACAGAGCCGGGGGCGCCCCGCGGAGACCAGCTCCCTCAGCGACATGCCACTCCATGGTGTGCTGTCCTTGCACACGGCCAGCTCGGCCAGCCAGTCCGAGGCCAGCTCCATGGTTAACTTCCCAGCCTGCTCAGTCCGCTCCGAGTCCAGCTCGGCCTTCCAGTTCTCTGACATCATCGACCAGTTAGAGCAGCTCAGCTACCCGCCCACAGCGGCCGAGGACTCCAGCAGCACAGACTCGAGCTCGTGGGACTCTGAAGCAGAGGCCCCCCTGGACATGAGCCTCTTTTTCAGCAACCCTTTTGCACAGACCCGTGGGGAGAGAGTCCCTTTTGAGGTGCAGGACAACTTGAAGAGCCTGACTGCAGGAGAGCAGATAGATAGAAACCCACCTGGGCCTCTGTAGACCCCTGCACAGGGAGGCCCGGCTCCCCCACCCACCATGTGGTAGGGCTCAGGATCCCTGGGTTCAGACACAGGAGTGGTGGACTGATGTTAGATGTCCCGTTTGGGGTTTTCCCCCTAATTCCTGATTTGTTGTACTCTTACATG